ACAGCCGGTTTTAATTGAAACCAGCTCTGTTCTTAAAGGCCGGGGAAAGCACACCTCCCCCTGCAACCTCTGACCCCAGGATGCTGGGTCTTGCCTGTCGTGGAAGAACTGGCTTCAGGTGTAATTTCTAAGAGTGCCATGGGAAACACATCAACACAAGTGATCAATTCTAAGCAGTTAATATGCTTGGTTTTGCCTTGATTCTGGTAAAAGGTTAATAAAGCACCTTTATTCAAGCTCTTGCTGACTCCTGGTCTGGTCTTGGGGAGACCCCTGGGTCCGAGGTCACAACCTGCTGAACACTCCAGGACTTGGGTCAGGGCCCTGCTGGGTGAGAACTGAGCCTGTGACCTCTGCCCTCCAATCTCAGCCCTGCTACTGACATTCTTTGGTGTCTGGAGCGAAGCACCCCACCTCCCTGCACTTCATTCACTAGTTTCTAAATGTTCGAGTAATAGTAACATACTGCACGTAGCAAATCCATGCCTGCAGGTGTCCGACTGTTGGTAGATTATGATCAGTGAACACTGGACTGGCTTCCCTGCTACTCCGAACACTCTGGGCCACTTTCCCCAAACACGTAATCAGACTGCCCGGCGATAGAGGATAAAGAAGGTGTGATACTCCCACACACAGTGGAACATTACTTGGCCATAGAAAAGAACAAAATGTTGCCATTTGTGACAACATGGATGAACCTAGAGGGTACATGCTAAATGAAGTCAGATAGAGAAAAACTTATATGAATTCACTTACATGAGAACTTCAAAAAACATGAACGAGATAAAACAGAAACAAACTTATAGATGCAGAGAACAAACTGATGGTTGCCAGAGGGGAAGGGGGAGGTGGGTGACAAAGGGGAAGGGGAGTAAGAGGTCCAAACTCCTAGTTAAAAAAAATAAATAAGCCTCAGGGTGTAGTTACCACAGGGGATATAGTCGATAATATCACAAGCGATAGACTGTTGGTAGACTTATCGCAGCAGTCACTTCGTAAGGTATATAAATGCATCATCACTATGCTGTCCACCTGAAACTAATACAATACTGTGTTATCTACACTTTAATAAAAAAGGAAGAGTTCGAGAACTGCAAACAAACGTTGCCACTGGCCTTGGCAAAACGCCGTTGTCCCGCTGCTTGGAAGCATACGCGGCATTCCCTCCCACCCGTGATCGGGACTGAACAAACCACTGGTCTTCTTCTCTGGGCTTTACATTAAACTTGACTTCAATCAAGTGTGGATTTCATTCAAAAAGAGAGTAACCTCGCAGAAAGACCCTCAGCGAGGCTTGGGCAGGAAGCGTCCCGATAACTTTACTCCGAGGCCGCATTTTAACTCACGTGCAGTTGATCCACACTCCGCTCTTCAGAAAGAGCGTGTGATGAAGTGATGAAAGATGACAGTAAACGCCAGGCTTGTGGCTGTTCACCCTGCTCCTTCATGATGCTTTCGCGTGACTGCAGCTGCGAGAAGTTCGCCTCCTCTCTGGTCTTCCGTAGCCTGTTATAGAACTACCCACTGGTCTCTCTGTGTTAGCTGGCTAGCGTGGCCATGACCAGGTGCCATGGACAGGGAGGCCAAACAACAGAAAGTTCTTTCTTGTGGTTCTGGAGGCTGGAAGCCCAAGATCAAAGTGTTGGCAGGTCCAGTTTCTGGTGAGAACTGTCTGCTTGGCTTGCAGATGGCCCCCTTCTCATGGTATCCTTGTGTGGCCCTGTCTCTCCCCTTCTTAAAAGACATCGGTCATACTGGATTAGGGCTTCATGCTAATGGACCTCCATTTAACTTAAAAAGCCTCTTTAAAAGCCATATCTTTAAATACGGTGACTTTCTGAGGTCTTGGGTGTTGGAACTTAACCATGCAAATTTTGGAGGGACATATTTCAGCCCTTGTCATTCATTTTAGATTAGTAGGTACTTGATATGTCTCCTGTCCTGGGCTCGAATGTAGGCTCCCTGGGTGAAAGGCCATGATTTAAGAGCCTCTGTGTCCCCAGGAATCATTTGTTTGATGGATCTTCCTGATCATTTAGAATTTTTGTTCGCCTATGTCCTGATGCAAATGTATTTTTTAAATATTTTATTTATTTATTTTTAGAGAGAGAGGACAGGAGGGGAAAGAGTGGGAGAGAAACATCAACATGTTTATCACACATCAACATGTGTGGTTGCCTCTCATGTGCCCCCTACTGGGGACCTGGCCTGCAACCCAGGCATGTGCCCCGACTGGGAATTGAACCAGCAACCCTTTGCTTCACAGGCCCGTGCTCAATCCACTGAGCTACACCAGCCAGGGCCTGATGCAAATGGATTTTGAAGGAGAAAATAAGCTCAGCCACCGTGGCTTCACGCCAACGCCGGGGCCAGACGATTTCCAAGGTTCCTTACAACTCTCGTGATTGTTCATTTCCCATCATGATGCAGGTGGTTTCCCATGAAATTCTCCTCCTTAGGAGTTTCAGACATGTGCTTGTTTCTTAGACGCAGGCCCCCCAAGAGGTTGCCACCTGTTCCTCTAACTTTCTCTAATTCTCCCCACATTGCTTATTCTCACATCTGCGTCTGGCAGCACCTGAGATCCTGGCCTGATTAGCACTGGAAGGAACCAAGGAAACTGGGGCAGGAAAGTGACTTGTCCCAAGTCTTCCCATGTCATCCAGACCCTGTGGTGACTCAGTCAAGGTCTCCCAGGTCCAAGGCCAGGGTTCTTTCCAATAACCTGTCTTTTCTCATTACACAAAGAGAACAGCAGGGCTTTATGGCTTATGGGCAATCGTTCACCTAGTGGAGTGAGATCATAGTCTCCCCAATGAGTTCTGAGGGACCCTAAAACAGCCTCCCTCTCAGCACCAAAAGGATCTCGCATGATTCTTCTGTTAGTTCATAAAATGCTCAAATGCTTGAACCATATGTTTAATTCCCAATGGTCATAGTCTTCCTTACATTAAAAAAGAGGAAATTTTCAGCATCGGGTGGAAAAACGAGCACAGATATTGGGGGCAATTGTCCAAACGCAGCGCCGAGCCAGCGCCCGGCCAGCAGAGGCACTACCAGCTTCGCGGCCGCCACCTCCCAGCCTTCCTTGGTCAGTAGGTGCGAGACAAATCACACCCAGCCTCATCTGCACATGAACATGAGCCTTGCTAGATGCATCCTGTGTTAATATTGCTTCTTTAAAAAGGGAAAAGATGGCTTAAATATGGAGCCTTATTTCAAATCAGGTTATACATAAAAATATGCAGGTGTGTAACACATGGCTCCCTCGGGCTGAACTCAGTCTGAAAGTGCAGGGGAGGTCTTCAGGAGCACTGCACTGTCCCCGCACAGAAAGGACAAGTGAGAACAGCCATTCCAGAACAGAAGGCATGTCTCCATGACAGAGTCTCACTGCCAATGACTCCTTGTGCCCATCTCAGGAATGTGGCCCTGACCAACAAAAGACCGTGTCACTGGCTTGGTCCCTCTGTGGAGACTGTAATGGTCCCCTTTGACTCCCAGAGTCTGACTTTCTGAAATGGATTTTGTTCATTTTCCCCCGAGATGGGGAAACTGCACGTGGCAGCCGATGAATCAATCGGGTCTGCCATACTGGCTCTGAGAGACAACCCGAGTGGGGCGGTCTGTGTGCATGAAACTCCCCAGGCGCAACTGAAGTTGAGCTGTGACACACAGTGACATCTGTGTGTGGCCCAGCAGCCGGCAAACTGCTTCCCTGCAAGGGGAGAAGCGTGCCAAGGCGGGACCAGGGGACCTTTGTTCATCCTCTGTATCCCAGAGATGCTGGTTGCTTGGCTGGTGGGGGAAATGTCTAATAATCAACAAATGCATTGTTCACTGATGCACAGGCTGATTTCTTTCCTCTCCGTGCCTTCATTTCTAGCTCTCCAAAGTATCTTTCCCCTTTAATTTTACGGCATTTTTGTGTGCACGTACATCGAGCTGCCACACCTAAAGTCAGAGATATCGATTGTCTTCCCAGACTCCTCTGGCTTTGCCGTTCTGTGGAGTTCCATAACGGGGTGCAAGTGTTTGCACCCCCTTCCCATGAACACCTCCTAACATTGCTGGTAGATTCGTCCCTGTTCTGAGCCCACAGCAAGGCTCAGCATGAGCGGCAATAATAACAGCGCATTCCTGACACCACCCCTGGACCGCTTGCTGAATTCTTCCCGAAAGCGCCTTGCTGGCCCTCACAGAGGTCACTGCAAAACCAGCTGGAAGCCGGGAATCCCACTGTGTGAGCAGGAAGTCCATTCTGTGGCTCAGACAGAAGATCGAGTTCATGGACACACTGGCACTCTGGCAATCCCAGATGAAGGTCATCTTTGGGCAAAACCCAGCTTTCTTGAACCCAGGCACAGTCTGGGGTAGCTGGCACTTTTGTTCTTTTTTTTTTTAACTGATGCTAGACGTTAAAAAATGGGAATCTCAAAACACACGGTCATTTTTTCCTTCGTGTTATGTTACCTGACCCAAAAAGGCAGAAGAAGGGGCAGGGGCTGCGGCTAAGTAATACTTCAAGGTTTGGCTGACAAATTTCCTCCAAGTAATCCAGGAACCCATGTGCAACTTACATAGCCTACTACATTGATAAACAAGGCAAAAATGCCTCCAGGATGACAGACGACTGCAGAGCAAGGGGACCGAAAGAATGTGGTACAGACACAGGAAGACCGGTTGGTTGACTTGCTAAACTTGAACTTAGAAAACAATAGAGTGAGCTAGAAGTTTGATTTGTAAAACAAATACCCACCTTTAAAATCATCTAATCATGTAGCTCTCTGTTCTCTGATAATCAACACAATTTTGGGAGAACAACACACCATGCAAAAAAAGTCTCGGCCAAGAACATACACTTCCTGCTTGTCTCTGGTGTCCCCAAAATGATTAGGGAAACCTGAACATTTAAATTAGCCTCCGATGCCAGGCGCTGACAGCTCCCTGTCGGACCCAGCATCCTCCTCCCCCGACCCGGAAGGCGGCAGGATACTCACCAGTCATGAGGGTGTAGTAATTGGGGTAAGAGAGACTGGGGAAGTCTGGGGTCAAGTAGTCCACTTTGACGCCCCTGCTCACAATCTCTTTGAACCCAGGCAAGGACTCCAGGGCCTCGTCACTGATATAGTCTGAGCGAAAGCCATCCAGCAGGAACACCAGGAGCTTCCGTCGAGCCGAGGCTGGCTGGGCCAGGCCAAGGGCAAGGCCCAGCAGGAGGGCCCCGAGCTTCACAGCCATGCTGCCAGGAACCTGCCTGAGCTGGCTGGCTGGCACAGCGGTCCCCTTGCAAAGACTGAGGATGGAGAATCTGTAGCTCTTCTCTCTTCTAGGGGCTGGATCTTGACTGCTGGCCTTCCCGAGCCAAGTTCACTTTCAGAATTTAAAGATACAGCACCCTTTTTATATAAAAAAACCTCTCTGCTCACCCTTTGCTGGAAAATTAGGAGACCCACTCCTCCGGAGAAGCTGGGTCCCCAGATAGCCTGGAATTAACACCAGGGGGGGAAAGTGCAACCTTATTATTTTGGGGTGAATGTTCTAGAAATAGAGGCACCCACAGAGAGGGGGAACTTTAGAAGATGACAGAGGTCAACACTAACTTCACAGTTGGGCTCACCCAAGGGAGGAGCCAAGGAAAAGGGCAATCTTTCAAATTGCTGTTTCCCCACATCTTTGCGGAATTAAACTCTCTGGCTGACTTTCACTGATGGTACATACGAGAACGCACACCTCCCAGCTCAGGGTAGACACGAGAGACAATAAAATCCAGTGGGCAGTCACAAACAAAGTGTGTGTCTCTCTTATTTGTCACACGCAGCTATAGACAGGGTTGATTGCTTTATTTTTCCAGTTGCTGGTGTCCAAAACCATCTGTAGGAGGGGGTAGCTCTCCGTAGAGCTGTAGAGCCAGAGAGAAAGTTCCAGAGAGAGACTATTCTGAGGCAGCATAGCCCCAGGCAGGCAACGAGATGAAGAGCTGGAGGATGAGCATTTGCAATGCAAAAGCAGAGCCAGAAAGTTTGGGGGCTCCAGGCTGCACCACCCGAAGGACAGGGAGGGAGAGGGAGTTGGAGGTGGGGCAGGAGGCCAGTGGAGGCCGCCAGGCACAGGTGGGCAAGGAGGCTGAGCACCAAGTCCCAAAGCTCAGGGTTCCCTACAGCGGGTCTTTCATTTGGCAGAAAATTAAAAAGGCTAATAAAATGCTCATGGCCCCCAGCCAGTGCTTCACGAGTGCTATTATTAGCACTGTAACAGTGCTGGTGCTCCGAGCCTGTTGAAACCTGCCAGGCTCAGAGCAAAGCTCCCAGGGACCCACCGCAGTCGGAGGACACCAGCCACTGGACCTGACCTCGGCCAGTTCTAAAATGCCCCTCCCCCTGCCCCGTGCCTGTGCTTTCTCTCCTCCTGTTCTCTCCTATTTAGAGTCCAGCCCTTACACCGGACCGCAGGTCACTTTCTAAATTGTACGGTCAACACACACACACACACCACACACACACACATCAGCCAGTGACCATCCCATCTCAGTGGACTTACCCAGGATTCAGACTCCATTTTCTAAGGCAAATACTGCCTTTTACAATGAACAAGTAAGAAAAAGAGGGGAGCTTATTCGTAATGGTCGTTAGCTTGAAAACGCAATGTAATCCCTATTTCTTTGAGTTGTGGGCTGTTGTTATTCTAAACAGAAAAAAATAAACAGGTGGAAGAGGGAGCCAGGGAGGAAGGAGGGAGGAGAGGGGGACGCGCTGAGGGCTGAAGGGCTGCCTGCCAGCACCACACACGCTGAGAGAGTTTCTCCAGGAGTGAGTGCGGGTCCGAGGCGGCAGCGGACGGATGTGCTCAGCCGGTCCTGAGCGGTCCGGAGTTTCTGGACAGTGAAGACGCCAGCACCAGGCCATGCGCGATCTGCTCTGCGGGTGGCCCCAGGGCTCACTAGGGAGAGGCTAAGGGCTCCGATCTTGAAGATGGATATAAAAGGGGCTTCGCTTTCTTCTGCAGCTAGCTGGGGGCAGAGCCGAAAATACAGACCCATGAGCACCTTACCCAGTGGTGGGGGCGGGCAGCCCTTCACCACCTCGCTCTCATCAGCGTGTCCACAGATCTCAGAAGTTCCCAGGGCCCCGCGGATGATGCTGTGACGTGATGGGCAGAGGCATTGCCAATGTGACCTTTGTTGGTTTATGATGATCCCATATTGTCTTAGGATAGTGTTCAGACAGTTCCTCTAAAGTTTGGGGTCAAAACTACTGTAAGTAAGCACCTTCATTATACACACCATCATGTGAAGGAAGAAACCTATCAGATGGAATTTAAACCAAGGAAATCCCAGCATTGCCCAGTCACACTGCCGGTCTTGTACACTGTGACCTAGGAAAGGCTGGAAATAAGAGCTGAACAGCAATAAGGAAAGGCACTCAATCAGAAAACATGGTTATGCCCTGGCTGGTGTAGCTCAGTGGATTGAGTGCGAGCCTGTGAACCAAAAGATTGCAGTTCGATTCCCACTCAGGGCACGTGCCTGGGTTGCAGGCCAGTTCCCAGCAGGGGATGCATGAGAGGCAACCATACGCTGACATTTCTCTCCCTCTCTCCTTCCCTTCCCTTCTAAAGAAAAATAAACAAAATCTTTAAAAAAAAAAAAGAAAACGTACTTGGTATTAGGTGTCCCAAGTCTGTGGTCCAAGACCTCGTTTGCCAGTTTCCTGGTGTCCTCCCTTGGGGATGGGTCTCAGCACCTACTGTGTGAAAGTGCTTCTTGCCACTTCTTGCCACTTGTTTTTCAAGGGTTGGCAAGGCTACGAGGTCATTGCCTGTGGGGGTTTAACCTAGATAACTAAGAAAAAGGAGAATTTTCCTTTAGACCTGGCAATGCCCTTTGCCCTGGAAGCTGCTCCTGGTCTTGCTGGGGACACGCGTGAGCTCTCAGGAATGTACTGCCCAGGCCGGCAGCATCCGGGGCCCGGCCTCCACGGACGGATGGAAGGAAGGGTCCTAGGAGAGAGAAGACATAACTGCAGAGCCTGGAGCTCTGGCGTTATGCACTTGTGTGATTCTGAGAAAGTTGCCTTTCCACGCTTCAGTTTTTACCTCTGAAACTCGACAGACGCTTTAAGGTCCTTTCCAGCTATAGAATTGACGAGATTCAAACGTTGTAACCCAAGTCAGCCCGCGTTGGCCGACACCCACCCCGCTGGTCCTGTCCAGCTACCTCAGTTTTGTGAGCCACGTTGGGCCTGTTGGCCGTGCCCACGCTTCCCTTTCCTCGAATCGGCAGTTTGGCTCAGCTCCTCAAAGTTCCTGCCGCAACCCCCGACCAAGGCAAGTGCCCATCAGCCCCCTCTCTGCTAAGGCCTTGCAATTAGAGTTGTAATACATTTTAAAGGACTGAAACCCTACAGAATATGTTCTAGATCCAGGAAAATATTCATCTGAAATTAAGATAAAGTAAAGACATTTTTAGAAAAATGAAAGCTGAGAGAATTGGTCACTAACATACTTGTACTATAAGAAGTGCTAAAGAATGTCCTTCAGGTTGAAGGGCAATTACTACAAAATAAAAATTAACATCAACAGGAAGAGAAAAAGTTATCAGAAATGTTAAGTGTGTAGGTAAATATAAAAGACTATATTTTCTTCCCTTCATGTCCTTTAGAGATAAGTTTATAGTAAAAATAGTAACATTATGATAGGATCTATAATTTATGATGTATGAAGACTTAAAAGACAAAAAAAACAGTAGCTTAAAATACAGGGGTAGGATGTGTAAATGGAATTAAACTGTTGTGACCTTTTCCTTTCATTTACAAAATGGGAAAAATCAGGGGAAAAGACTAAAGTGTAAAGTGATCCAGTACTAATTTTAAGTAGATTATAATAAGGATGCAGATGGTAATGCTAAGAGCAGCCACTAAAAATTAACAGAAGAGGCATAGGTAAAAAGTCAATAGAAAATTAAACTATATCAATATGATAAAGGCCATACCTGGCAAACCCACAGCTACCCTCATACTCAGTGGTGAAAGGTCAACATCCCTCCACTAGGGTCAGGAACCAGACAAGGATGCAAGCTCCCACCGCTCCTATTCAACATGGTGCTGGAATTCTTACCCAGAGCAGATAGTCAAGGGGAAAAAAAGGCATCCAAATCAAGAAGAAAATGTTAAATTTCCTCTGTTTGCAGATGACATGATCCTATATATATATACATACAAAACCCTAAAGACTCAAAAGAGTTTTGAAAAAGTTTTTAGAATGAGTAACAAGTGAATTCAGTAAAGTTGAAGGAAAAAACATACAAAACCCACTTGTATTTATATACACTAAAAATGAATTATCTGAAAAAGAAATAAATAAAATAATTTCATTCACAATACCATCAAAAATAATAAAATATGTAGGAATAATTCAGCTAAAGAAGTGAAAGATCTGTAGACTGAAAATTATGAGACATTAGTAAAAGAAATTGAAGAAGACACAAATAAGTGGAAAGATATTCCAACGTCATAGATTAGAATTAATATTGTTAAAAGGCCCATCCTACCCAAAGCTGTCCATAGATTCAATTCAGTCCTTATCGAAATTCCACTGACATTTTTCACAGAAATAAAATAAATTCTAAAATTCATGTGGAACTGTAAAACACCTTGAATAGCTAAAGCAATCCTGAAAGAAAAAGAAAAGAACAGAAGTGGAGGCATTGCACATCCTGATTTCAAATGTTATTTCAAACCTGTAGTAATTGAAACAATGTGGTATTAGCATAAAACAAAAACGCAGGTCAGAGGAACTGAATCAGGAGCCTACACAGATACAGTCAATGGACATTCAGCCGGGGGCCAAGAATACTCAGTGGGGGAAAGGGTGGTCTTTTTAATCAGTGGTGTTGGGGAACCAGAGAACCACATGCAGAAGAATGACACTGAACCCCTGCCTAACACCACTCACGACAATGAACTTGAAATACATTGAAGACCTAAATTTAGGACTCAAAAACATAAAACTCCAAGAAAAAAAAACAAGAACAAACCTTCTTGACATTGCTCTTGGTGATGATTTTTTTTAAAGATATGACACCAAAAGTACAAACAACAAAAATAAACAAGTGGACTAAGTCAAACTAAAAAACTTCTGCACAGCAAAATTAATGGTCAACAAAATGAAAAGGCAACCCGCAGAACAGGAGAAAATACTTGCAAATCATCTATCTGAAATGCGATTGACATCCCAAATATATAAGGAACTCAACAACTCAATCACAAGAAAAATAACATCTTTAAAAAGATGGCAAAGGACACAAAGAGACATTTTTTTCA